TGGATCACAAAGTCACCACACATTCTGAGCACAAGTACAAGAAGCAACAGTTTATACTTCACAGCAATAAGTAAAGCTAGAGGCTGTCACAGAGGGCAAGTGAGGAGGAGGAGGCTAGACTGATAGGAAAGGAGAGAGGAGGCAACGGCTGAAGCTGCAGACACACGGGCAACAGGAGCGCGCGCACTGTGGCTACCGGAGGCGCACCTCCGGACTACAGGAGTAACTGGCTCCGCGGCTAAGACGAGCGGCAGGAGCAACGGACCCACAGGCGACTGGCGCAGCAGGCTCGCTGGGCTACCGGAGGCGCACCTCCGGACTACTGGCGCTGCTGACGACACGACGGCTACCTCCCTTCAACCTCCCCCACTGTCGCACCCCCCTTTCACACACCCCCTGCTGCACCCCTAGGTTCACTCCCACACGACACACCCCCATAGTGCCACTCCATCGTCTCCCACACACCCACCCCCCTCAGCGGCAGCTGCAGCAGTGGGAGACGGAGGAGGAGGAGGAGCAGGGGAGACCGCACACATCCTTCACCCCCATACTCGCCACCCCCAAACCCCAACACAGGGTAGGGCCGCAGCAGGGGCGGCAGCAGGGCAGGGCAGGGCCGGGACAGGGCCGGGGCAGGACGGCAGGGCCGGGCAAAGCAGGGCCGGGATAGGACGGCAGGGCCGCGACGAAGACGGGAGGGGCCGACGCGCGGCCCCCTTCTGTCGCGCGGCCCCCCCCGGGTCGCCTCGACTGGCGACGGGAAGGGGGGGGGCCGCGTGGCCCCCGAGGTTACCTCAACGTGCGTCGGGGGGGGCAACGCGCGGCCCCCCAGGTCACCTCGACGGACGACGGGGGGGGCGACGCGCGCCCCCCCCAGGGCGCCTCGACGGGCGACGAGGGGGGGCGACGCGCGGCGCCCCAGGGCGCCGTGACGGGCGACGAGGGGGGGCGACGCGCGGCCCCCCAGGGCGCCGCAACGGGCTACGGGAGGGGCGACGCGCGCCCCCCAAGGGCGCCCCGACGGGCGACGGGATGGGGGGGGGCGACGCGCGGGCCCCCAGGGCGCAGTGTGCGAAAGCAAACCGCCGCGCGCCTTGGGGCGCACGGCGGGCAGAGAACCGCCGCGCGCCTCGGGGCGCACGGCGGGAAGAAAACCGCCACGCGCTCGGAGCGCGTGGCGGGAAGAAAAAACGTCGCGCGCCACGGGGCGCGCGACAGACAGGACAGCAGCAGCGGAAGCATTGGGTGGGCCCATCCACAGGATCGACCCGTGAGGGTCGACCTGCTCTGATTCCATGTTGGAAACAGCAGTTGAAAGTTAGAAACGAGAAAGAGAAGGTTGCACTAGCAAGCAGTTGAGTACATATAGCAAACCCTAGATTGGGCTGTACTCACTATTGAGTACCCCACTGCAGGCTAGACAAATATAACATTCTGACATTACGTGCCTCGTGTTGAGACTATATATAGCCTCGTGTTACCCAGGTGAAGCAATCGATTCTCATTCTTCATTCTGAACTCGATCCTCGATCCTCACACATGGTAATCAGAGCTCGTTTAAACGCGAAGTTTTTTCGACCACTAAAATCCAGTCTTAAAAAACCACGGGGGCGACGACTGTTAAATACCAATTTCGAGTACGTAAAACCGATTCCGTGTTTTTCACTCCCCCTCGTTTCCGGTTTTCAGACGCGCAATGTCAGTCATGGAAGGTCAAGGCGACAACTTCGTGTAAGAAGTCGCCACCATTCGCGCTGACCTGGACGAAACGCGCGCGGCGCTTCGACGAATCGAGGCACTCCTCGCAAACCAGTTGGCAGCCGCCACATGTCAGAATATCTCAGTGGTTACATTTGTGTAGGCTATAGCGGGGTAGGTAGCCCATAAGGGGTACAACCCAATCAGGGTTAGTACTTGTACCCAACTTCTGCACAATTCATCATTCTCGTTCATTCTTCTGACATGGTTTTAGAGCAAGTCCTTCGCTAGGACCGTTTTTTTTTTTGCCCACCACAGTGCTGCCCCACTAGCCGCCCTAGCGACCCTCGTGCCGCACCTGTTGCCCCTCGCACCGGCCCCTTGTGGCCCTCTCATCGACCCTAGGCCCTGGCGCCCCGTCGACCCTAGGCCCCGGCCCGCGCCCCGTCGACCCTAGCCCTGGCCCGCCCCGTCGACCCTAGGCCCCGGCGCCCCTTCGACCCTAGGCCCCGGCCCGCGCCCCGTCGACCCTAGCCCCGGCCGCCCCGTCGACCCTAGCCCCGGCCGCCCCGTCGACCCTAGGCCCCGGCCCGCGCCCCGTCGACCCTAGCCCCGGCGCCCCGTCGACCCTAGGCCCCGGCCCGCACCCCGTCCACCCTAGCCCCGGCAGCCCCGTCGACCCTAGGCCCCGGCGCCCCGTCGACCCTAGGCCCTGGCCCGCGCCCCGTCGACCCTAGCCACGGCGCCCCGTCGACCCTAAGCCCCGGCCCGCCCCGTCGACCCTAGGCCCCGGCGCCCACGTCAACCCCTACGCCCGGCCCGCACGTCGACCCCTACGCCCGGCCTGCCCGTCTACCCCTAGGCCCCGGCCCCCAAGTCGGCAACTACGCCTGCCTGTCACCCCTAGGCCTACAGGCCGCCCCTAGGCCCGGCCCGCCCGTCGCCCCTTGCAGCCTGCGAGCCGCCCCTTGCGGCCTCCTTGCTGCCTCTTGCAGCTTGCGCACTACTCTCTCGCAACCCGCTAGCTGCCCCTCTCCTCTGCTGCTATGGCTTCTCTTCGTGTTCTCCCTTTCGATCATGAGGGCCGCCCTGTCCAGTTTGACACGTGGCTCGACGACCTGCAGCTGTAGCTACTGAGCGACTCTAGGGACAGTGTTTCGTTGTTTGACCATACGTCTGTCGCCGCTCCCGCCCCTCCCACCACAGCTGACAGTGCAACTCGCTCACAGTGGCTTACTCGCGACGCTGGTGCCCGCTTAGCCATTCGCAACCACCTGCCGTTAGCCGAATGCGCTCACTTCGGACAGCACAGGACAGCACAGGCACTGTACCACGCTGTCGTCGCTCGCAACTCCTCGCCTGCCACTGCTGCTCTAGGCCGCCTTCTACTGCCCTACCTGTTCCCCGAGCTATCCGCATTTGCCACAGTAGAGGACCTGGTTTCCCACCTTCGCACTAGCGATGCTCGCTACCGCGCTGCTGCCCCAGCTGAGTTCCTTGACAGGAACCATCACCCACCTCCCTGACTCTGTTCGCTCTGTCAAGGACCACTTTCTCTACCTCGACCCCATAGTCCTCACTGTTGACCTCCTCGAGCAGCACCTCCTTGGAGCTGAGACTAGTGTAGTCGCTGTAGGTGCTGCTCGTGGCACTCCGTGCACACCTTTCTTTGAGGGATGCTCCCCCTCCCCCCTTGCCCCCTCCTACACCTCTGCTGCTGCTCTCGACGTCCCTGGTGCTGAGGACGTCGGGCCGGCTTCTGCTAGTGCGAAGCGCCGCAGCAGCAAGGGCAAGGGTGGCAGGGGTGGTGGCGGTGGCAGCGGGGGTGGTAGTGGGGGCAGCAGTGGAGGTGGTGGAGGCAGTGGGGGTGGTGGCAGCGGTGGGAGCGGTGGCGGGAGTGGGGGCTTTGGTGGCGGCGGTGGAGGCAGCGGTGGGAGTGGCGGTAGTGGCGGCAGTCGGAGTGGTGGCGGTCGGACTGGAGCTCAGCGTGGAGGTTCTGGAGGAGGCCAGAGGCAGCAGCAGCAGCGTCGGAGCGAGACCCGGTCACCCCAGCAGCTTCGTGAGTGGTTTGCTCAGCGTGGGGCGTCTGGGGGTGGTGGTAGCTGCCCGTATGTCATTCGCACGGATGACCGTGCTGGTCAGACATGCGGGAAGCCTCACATTCAGCACCACTGCTTCTCCCGCCTCGACGACGCTTGGCGCGCAGAGTTTGGTGACGAGGCCGAGCGCCCCCGCTGGGCAGAGCTGCTTAGGTCTGGAGTTGCTATCTTTGACCTAGACTATGATGTTATCCTGTCAGAATGTATTTGCTGTCTAGCCTGCAGTGGGGTACTCTGTAGTGAGTACAATCCAATTTAGGGTTTTGTATTTGTATCTCAACTCTTGCTAGTGAATCCATCATTCCTCTCGACATTCTCCTTTCCAATTCTCTCGACACTCAACTCTCTCGACACTCACTAGCCATGGCTTCTAAGTCACGCTAGTATTCTCACATGGTATTAAGAGCAACAATTTTGTAGGACCTAATCTTAATGGGCCCACCACCTACTGCCCTGCTAGCCTAGGCCCCGGCCCGTCGCCCCTTGGCGTCGCCCCTAGCTGTGCCCCTCGGCCCCGCTGGCCCCGTCGACTTCGTCGCTCCGCGCCCAGCCCGTACTTAGCCCGCGATCGGCCCGTACCTACCCCGCGCTCGGCCCCGTTCCTAGCCCCGCGCCCGGCCCGTACCTCGCCCGCGCCTGGCCCCGTACCTAGCCCGCGATCGGCCCGTACCTAGCCTCGCGCCCGGCCTCAGTTCCGCGCCCAACGCCCGGCCCGTACCTCGCTCGCGCCAGGCTCCGTACCTAGCCCGCGCCCGGCCCGTACTTAGCCCGCGACCGGCCCATACCTAGCCCGTCGCCCGGCCCTGTCCCTTGCCCAGCGCCCGGCCCCATACCTAGCCTCGCGCCTGGCCTCCGTTCTGCGCCCAACGACCAACCCCGTACCCAGCCCGCGCCCGGCCCAGTACCTGCCCAGCACCCGGCCCCGTACCTGCCAAGCGCCTGGCCCCTGTACCTACCCAGTGCCCGGCCCTGTACCTGCCCAGCGCCCGGCCCAGTCTGCCCAGCGCCCGGCCTCGTACCTGCCCAGCGCCCGGCCCCGTACGTGCCCAGCACCCGGCCCCGTACCTGCCCAGCGCCCGGCCCCGTACCTGCTCAGCGCCCGGCCCTGTACCTGCCCAGCGCCCGGCCCTGTACCTGCCCAGCGCCCGGCCCCGTACCTGCCCAGCGCCCGGCCCCGTACCTGCCCAGTGCCCGGCCCAGTCCATGCCCAGCGCCTGGCCCCGTACCTGCCCAGTGCCCGGCCCCGTACCTGCCCAGCGCCCGGCCCCGTACCTGCCCAGCGCCCGGCCCCGTACCTGCCCAGCACCCAGCCCCGTACCTGCCCAGCGCCCGGCCCCGTACCTGCCCAGCGCCCGGCCCTGTACCTGCCCAGCGCCCGGCCCTGTACCTGCCCAGCGCCCGGCCCCGTACCTGCCCAGCGCCCAGCCCCGTACCTGCCCAGCGCCCGGCCCCGTACCTGCCCAGCGCCCGGCCCCGTACCTGCCCATCGCCCGGTCCTGTACCTGCCCAGCGCCCGGCCCTGTACCTTGCCCGCGCCCGGCCCGTACCTAGCCCAGCGCCCGGCCCCGTACCTAGCCCGCGCCCAGCCCCGTACCTGCCCAGCGCCAGGCCCCGTCCCTAGCCATGGCCCAGTCGCCCCTAGCCATGGCCCCTCGCGACCTGCCGCCCCTAACCGCGGCCCCGGTGCCCTGTTGCAATATGGTGGGTGAGGGGGTGGCAAGAGGGGGTTCTTCCAGCCCGCGTGCCCTACAGTCGCACGCGCAGCTCTGCCCCCGCCCCCCTCCCCCCCCTCCCCCCCCTCCATGGGGACGGCGGGGAGAGGGTGTGAGGGGGTGGCGGATGTGCCTCAGCAGCAGCTGCCACCACACCTCCTCCTCTCTCTCTCCCTGCCGCACCTTGTGTTGGGAGAGGGGGGGGAGCTTGGAGGTTCAGGGGGAGGCAGGAGGGGATCTGCAGCACCGACCCCCCCCCGCCCCCCCCCCCCCCATGCCGCAGGTGCAGCAGTGGGGGGAGGGGACCTGCGGCACCAGCCCCCTCCGCCCCCCCCCCCCCCCTTCTACTCCATCTCTCTGCTGCGGGTGCAGCAGTGGGGGGAGGGTATGGGGGTGGCGGGTGTGGCGCGTCCTGCTGTCGCCCGAGCGGCTCCTGCACCCCCCCCCCCCCCTTTCTCCTCCATCCCCTTGCTGCGGGTGCGGCAGTGGGGGGAGGGGATCTGCAGCACCAGCCCCCCCCCGCCCCCCCCCCCCCCCCCCCCCCCCCCCCCCTCCCTTCTCCTACCTCCCCCTGCTGCGGGTGCAGCAGTGGGGGGGAGGGGATCTGCAGCACCAGCCCCACCCCCGCCCCCCCCCTTTCTCCTCCATCCCTTGCTGCAGGTGCAGCAGTGGGGGAGGGTATGGGGGTGGCGGGTGTGGGTGCAACTGCGGGGTGGAGGGTATGGGGGTGGCGGGGGTGTGAACCGTCCCCTACTCCTCCTCCTCCTCCGTCTCCCACTGCTGCAGCTGCCGAGGGAGTGGTGCTAGGGGGGTGAAGAGGGAGTGGTGCTAGGGGGGTGAAGAGGGAGTGGTGCTAGGGGGGTGACGTGGGAGTAGAGCTAGGGGTGAAGCAAGGGGTGTGTGAAAGGGGGGTGGGACAGTTGGGGGAGGTTGAGCGGAGGCTGCCGTCTTGTCGTCCGCAGCACCTGTAGTCCGGGGCTCTGCTTCTGGTAGCTCAGAGAGCCTGCTGCGCCTGTCGCCCGTGGGTCTGTTGCTCCTGCCGCTTAGAGTTAGCCGCAGAGCCAGTTACTCCTGTAGTCCGAGGAAATGTGCTCCGGTAGCCACCGTGCACGACGCTCGTGTTGCCCGTGTGTCTGCAGCATCAGCCGTTGCCTCCTATCTCCTCTCCTCTCACAGTCCAGCCTCCTCCTCCTCACTTGCCCTTTGTGTATGCCTCTAGCTTTGCTTGTACTTGTGAACCTGCTCTATGACTGCTTGCTCAACTGATTATACCCCACTTTGACTATGGGGGTGTGTCAGAATGTATTTGCTGTCTAGCCTGCAGTGGGGTACTCTGTAGTGAGTACAACACAATTTAGGGTTTTGTATTTGTATCCCAACTCTAGCTAGTGAATCCATCATTCCTATCGACATTCTCCTTTCCAATTCTCTCGACACTCAACTCTCTCCACACTCACTAGCCATGGCTTCTAAGTCACGCTAGTATTCTCACATATCCTTGCTGCTATGTATGCTTAGTGCTGAGGGTGACTATTACCTGTACAATCGGGAACCAGGACAAGTAATATACAACTACACAATCACCTTCATCGACGCCGCCACCCGTTACGTCTGGCATCTAAACCTACCCAGCCGCGACATGGTCCTCGAAGCATTCGCTGCTTGGCTACCAGTAGCAGAAAGAGAGTCGGGCGTAAAGCTGAAAAGCTTCCAGTCTGACGGAGGAGGAGAATACACCTCTCAGCGATTCAAGCAGTACCTGGCGGAAAGGGGAATCAAGCAGCTCCTCTCTCTTCCCTACGCCCATCAGCAGCAAGGTGTAGCAGAAAGAATGAACAGGACTCTGCAGAACAGCATGCGCAAACTGTTGCGTGGCATGCGGCTACCCAACCACCAGTGGCCTGACGCGATGGACCACGCTGTCATGCTGCACAACTTGCTCTCATCTTCATCACTACCGAACAACGCATCACCGCATCTGCTGTGGACAGGAAAACAGGGCAGCACAAAAATGTTACGAGTGTTCGGATGCATGGTACAGTACCGACCCCCAGCAGCACGAGCGGGCCGATTTTCACAACGCGCACAGTGGGGACTACACCTCGGCATCGAAAAGAACTACAACGCGTGGAAAATCTTTGACGTCCACTCCAAGGAAACAGTAGCAGCACGCGACGTCATTTTCTACGAACGACTCACGCTCCAGACATACCTTGCCAACCTGCAAGAGGACCAAGATCCCACAGGTGGTTTTCGTGGTGACCGAGCCTTCGCCTCGGCAGCAGACGAAGCTGACTGGGACGAGCAGAATGTGGCCAACGCATCAGAAGAAGCTGGACCCCTTCCGTTCTGCTCCGTCGACGTCCCCATGGACGAAGATAACCCTCGCGAAAGTGTCAACGCCGAAACCTTCTACTACTTCGCCGACAACAGTTACGTAACACCTGCGACAGTCAACACCAACGAAGCAGAACGAGTAGAACCGAATTTCATACCTGATCCAGAAGCGGGAGATGAAGCAGCTTATCCCGAGGATGCAACTCTTCCCCGCTACTCACAGACTGGACTGCAGATTCTCGGACTCGTCACCGCAGTCCACGGCAACACTCTTCCTAAGGAGCCTGCGACGGTTCAGCAGGCTCTGGGGGGGGAACACAGGGAAAAATGGCGTGAAGCCATGGACAGAAAGTTAAAGGCGCTGGAGGAACGGAACACCTGGAAAGTTGTCCCCATCAGCGTGGCAAGGAACAAGACCATTCTCACCGGGAAATGGGTCTTCCGCGTTAAAACAAAAGCAGATGGCACAATTGAGAAGTTCAAAGCACGCTGGGTTGTGCGTGGATTCGATCAGGAGCACGGACGGGACTTCACCGAGACATTCGCCCCGGTTAGCCCACATACCTCACTTCGAATCCTCCTCGCGATCGCCGCCATGAAGAAAAGGAATCTACGGCAAATCGATGTCGCCAACGCGTTCCTCTACGCACCTGTCGACGTGGAAATCTTCGTCGAGCTCCCACACGGTACCAACGGGGAACCTAACCAAGTCTGTCAACTGCTGAAATCACTTTACGGGATCAAGCAAGCTCCGCGGCTATGGCAACAGTACCTACACGCTCGCCTCATTCGCATCGGATTCCGCCAACTACCTCACGACCAAGGAATGTACCGACTCACTAAGGACACCGACTACATTCTGCTGATCGTCTACGTAGACGACCTACTCTACATCGGCTCCACTGACGACATCACCACCTGGTTCGAAGGGGAGCCACAGAGGGACCTCACACTCACGGTCTCCTCTACCGTCACACAGTACCTCGGCTTGAACATTCGGGAAGAAGAAGGCGCGATCTACCTCAACGCCGCTAAGTACGCCGACACCATCGCCAAACGCTTCGCGCTCACACCTACCACCATCTCTACACCCTACCGCTACGCGACAGGAAACCACAAGGAAGGATCCTCTCTACTCAAATCCGCCGGGATACGCGACTACCAGAGAAAGCTAGGATGCCTTCTCTTCGCAGCTGTCACCTGCCGCCCCGACCTCTCATACTCCGCAAGCCAGCTCGCCACCTACCTCAAGAAGCCTGAAGCAGAACACCTGGCGGAGCTCGACCGCGCTCTCCACTACTTCGTCAGTACCTCAACGATCGGCCTAACTTACTACAAGAACACAACTACACCGACTAAATTAATCGGCCACGTCGACGCTGATCACGCTGGCGACTCCGACAACAGGCGCTCCCGCACCGGCTACATCTACCGCCTCGAACCTATCGGACCGATCTCCTGGCAATCGAGCAAGCAGGAATTAATTGCTCTCTCGTCAGCTGAAGCAGAATATATTGCACTCTGCTCAGCCACCAAGGAAGGACTCTATCTTCGCGAGCTGCTGGAAGAAGCGAAGTTAGCCGAGTTACCCAACTTCACTCTGTTCTGCGACAACCAATCTGCAATTCGCATCGCCAACAAAAATGGATTCGCGAACAGAACGAAGCATATCGCTCTGCGATATTTCTTCGTGAAAGACGAGATTGAGAAGGGGAGACTTGAACTATCCTACTGTCCCACGTCCGAGATGGCAGCTGACTACTTGACCAAGAAGCTCGGAAAACAGAAGTTCGAGTACTGCATGCTGCTGACTGGACAAAGCCACGTCACCAGCAGCGACACTCCAGAAGCGAAGGGGAGTGTTGGGAACAAACAATCTTAAGCGCCTCTGTCGTGTCGAAACACCAAGGCACAAGCGAAGCAGAGCATATCGAGGCACCAGCGAGTCAACCCTCGGAGGTTGAAGTAACCGCTGGAGGTTACGCGAAAGTCAAAGGTCAGCGACCTTTGACTTGACAAATGCAGCGCGACAGCAAGGACACACAACTGACTCGACATTGAGCAGTTGCCCGAGTCGCACTGTATCGAACCGCAACAGTAAAACAGTTTAATTATATCTCTTCGTATTCTTTGTACTCTTATATAAACCTTTGTACTTGCTTGTTTTAATCAACTTACTTTGCCCTCACATACCAGCGCAAGGTGGTTCAAGGACTTCATTTAAACGCTTCCGCTACTACATCACTCTACCCAGAGTTTAACCCTACCAAAGATCCTAAGGGGCACTCAGCCCAACAACTACAATGACAATGGAACGTCCTAAAACAGGGGGAAAACTAGCCAGGCCCTCGCCTAAAATAGTAGGCTTGGTAGGGTGGCAAGAGATACGGGGGCGACCCGGGAGTAGGTTTGTGGAGAGGTGGTTGTTTCTAAACATTGTCGAACTCGTCGTTCAGTTTACGCTTGCGCAAAGCCTGCCTGTCATCTCTGTAACGGGGGTTCAAAGAGTGGGTGAATTGAGTGAGAGGACGGAAAGAAATTCATCGCCTTTCCATGTACGAGACGTACGTATGGACGGAGCACCACAATGAACAAGAACAGGTATACAACGATCCAAATCACTATGAAAAGGAAAAGAAAGAAAGAAAGACAAAAACTTGCTGGATTATACATTCAGAGAGAAAACCCTTACCTGTTCAGTTTTGGTCTGGGTGGCAGAACCGACCCTGGAGGAAACATCACCGTATCAACCGACATCGGCCCTCCATCCCCTCCCCCGGTAACCGCAGTAACCATCGTCACCTCACTCGGCGTCTCCCCTTCCGCACCGCCCCCCTCCACAGCTCCTCTCCCATCCCTGCCCTCCCCAACAATCTCCCCAGCCTTTCCTCTCCCCTCACCCCCCTCGAAATCTTCTATCCCAGGTTGGAGTGATATTCGAACTGCCTTAGTGGCCGGTGAGAGGTTGCGGGGGTAGTGAGGTGACTCTACTGAAGGCGGGAGATGCCTCCGCCCTGTATTAGCAACACCTGCTGCTGCTCCTGCCCCACCAGCCGTCCCGTCCCGTCTCGTGTCACCGCCAGCAGTAGCACCGTTAGCAGCATCAAGAGCAGCAGCTGCATCTGGGGCGAGAGGCGCCAGGCCGACAGGGATGGAGCCGGGAGGGAAATCGCTGCCAGAGGGCTTTGGAGGCGGGCGCGGCAGGTCCTTGGGCTTGGTGGCTGGTGGGCCGAGCAGGAAGTAGCTGGAAGACAGCAGAGGGGGGATGTGTGGAGAGAATGAGAGAGGCAGTGGGGTGCAAGAGACTCGGGTGGAGAGGGAGCGCGAGGCAGGTCCTTGGGGTTGGTGGCTGGTGGGCCGAGGAGGAAGTAGCTGGTGGGGAGGAGGGAGTGGATGAGGGAGTCAAGGAGGGTGTGTGGATGGTGAAGGTAAGAGAAAACGGGCCATAATGTGCTTCTTGGGTATGGTATGGTTGGGTATGGTATGCTTGGGTATGGTATGCTTGGGTATGGTATGCTTGGGTATGGTATGGTTGGGTTAGGTAGGAGACAAGAGCAGGCAGTGCATAGACGCCTAAGTCCCACGTGCCCACTGGTGCTGCAAGGCGTGAGCGACAGTGATCCGCTTGGTTGAGTCGAAGGTGAGCATGCGGGACAGCAGGTCGAGACTCCACAGCCTCTTACTCACCTGTGCTGAGATACACAGGTGCGCCTCTTACTCACCTGTGCTGAGATACACAGGTGCGCCTCTTACTCACCTGTGCTGAGATACACAGGTGCGCCTCTTACTCACCTGTGCTGAGATACACAGGTGCGCCTCTTACTCACGTGTGCTGAGATACACAGGTGCGCCTCTTACTCACCTGTGCTGAGATACACAGGTGCGCCTCTTACTCACCTGTGCTGAGATACACAGGTGCGCCTCTTACTCACCTGTGCTGAGATACACAGGTGCGCCTCTTACTCACGTGTGCTGAGATACACAGGTGCGCCTCTTACTCACCTGTGCTGAGATACACAGGTGCGCCTCTTACTCACCTGTGCTGAGATACACAGGTGCGCCTCTTACTCACCTGTGCTGAGATACACAGGTGCGCCTCTTACTCACCTGTGCTGAGATACACAGGTGCGCCTCTTACTCACGTGTGCTGAGATACACAGGTGCGCCTCTTACTCACGTGTGCTGAGATATACAGGTGCGCCTCTTACTCACCTGTGCTGAGATACACAGGTGCGCCTCTTACTCACCTGTGCTGAGATACACAGGTGCGCCTCTTACTCACCTGTGCTGAGATACACAGGTGCGCCTCTTACTCACGTGTGCTGAGATACACAGGTGCGCCTCTTACTCACCTGTGCTGAGATACACAGGTGCGCCTCTTACTCACCTGTGCTGAGATACACAGGTGCGCCTCTTACTCACCTGTGCTGAGATACACAGGTGCGCCTCTTACTCACCTGTGCTGAGATACACAGGTGCGCCTCTTACTCACCTGTGCTGAGATACACAGGTGCGCCTCTTACTCACCTGTGCTGAGATACACAGGTGCGCCTCTTACTCACCTGTGCTGCTGTGATCCGCTTGTTGTGATCAAAAGTGAGCATTCGGGAGAGAAGGTCTAAGGCATCGTCTCCAGCCATGGGGAAGTGCGACTTGAGGGGCAGCAATTCACTCATGCATTTGTTACAGCAGAACTGCTTGCACACGTCAGCCTATGTGAGCGCACATGCAAGCATGAGCGCACCCCAGTTACTCACCGGTGCTTATTCGGGTCGAACGTGAGCTTGAGGAAGAGCAGGTCGCAAACACCTTACATACAGCCATGGGGAAGTGCGACAGTACTAACATGTGTATGCTACAGCACACCATACATATGAGCGCACGCGCACCCACCGGTGCTGCAGGGCTTGAGCGGCTGTGATCCGCTTGTTGGGATCAAGCGTGAGCATGCGGGAGAGCAAGTCGAGAGTATCGTCTCCAGCCATTGGGAAGTGCGACTTGAGGGGTGGTGCCACGCAGAAGGCTAAACGAGTATGCATATGTGTGTGCTCTCACTGGTGCTGCAGGGCTTGCGCAGCTGTAATCCTCTTATTGGGGTCGAAGGTGAGCATGTGTGAGAGCAGGTCGAGGGCATTGTTGCCAGCCATTGGGAAGTGTGACTTGAGGGGCGACAGCACGACACCATACATAACAGCACACCTTACATCCATGACAGCAGTGCTCACCGATGCTGTAAGGCCTGCACAGCTGTGATTCGCTTGTTGGGGTCGAACGTGAGCATGCGGGAGAGCAGGTCGAGGGCATCATCTCCAGCCATGGGGAAGTGCGACTTGAGGGGCGGCGCCGGGCAGAAGTTGAAATGCACGTAATCGGGCAGGCACTGCATGTCCGGCCATTGGTCCTCCCGCGGCGTGCCCAGGGCAGCGAAAATCTTCCCCAATTGGTCGATGTCACTCGATCCCTGACAGATGTGGGGGAGAGGGAAAGGGGAGAGGAGAAGGGGAGAGGAGAGGAGAGGCATCGGGAAGAGGTGTCAAGGGAGGGGAGGTGAATGGAGAAGGAGTGAGGGGCATCGAGTGGAAGGGAGTTGCAAGGAGAGAGGAGAGGAACGCAGAAGTTGAAATGCACGTAGTCGGGCAAGCACTGCATGTCTGGCCATTGGTGAGAGGGGAGAGGGAAAAGGTGTCAAAGGGAGGAGAGGCGGGAGAGGAAGGAAGAAGTTGAAACCCAAGTAGTCGGGCAGGCACTGCATGTCCGGCCATTGGTCCTCCCGCGGCGTTCCCAGGGCAGCGAATTGTTTCCCCAATTGGTCTATGTCACTCGATTCCTGGTTTATGTGGAGGGGAGGGGGAGGGGAGACGGGAGGGGGAGAGGTACTGGGGAGTGGGGTAAGGGGGAGCAACTCAGCTTAGGCACCCCACAGCGCAAACACCTGGTGGGAGAGCTTGCTTAGTCTAGGAGTAGCAAACACCTGGTGGGAGAGCTTGCTTAGTCTAGGAGTAGCAAACACCTGGTGGGGTGGGGTGGGGTGGGGTGGCTTGCTGCCTCTGCGCGTGAGCTTCCTTGCTGTCTCTGAGCGAAGAGTAGGGCATACCTGCAGGAAGGGTCGTCTGAGAAGCAGCTCTGCAAACACACAGCCAACCCCCCACACGTCCATGCCCGACCCGTACGCCTTGCTGCCAAACAGCAGCTCAGGGGCGCGATACCGCAGCGCAGACACCTGGTGGGTGAGGTGAGCTTGCTTGCTGCCTCTGGGTGAGCTTGCTGGTTCTAAGAGCAGAGTAGGGCATACCTGTAAGAAGGGCCGTCGCAGAAGCAGCTCTGCAAACACGCAGCCAGCGCCCCACACGTCCACGCCAGAGCCATACGCCTTGCTGCCGAACAGCAGCTCAGGGGCCCGATACCACAGCGCAAACACCTGGTGGGTAAGCTTGCGGTCAGGGCTGCCGAAGAGGCGAGCAAAGCCGAAATCAGCAATCTTGAGCTCCCCTGTTGGGCCGATGAGGAGATTGTTGGGCTTCATGTCCCTGTGTGGGGTGGTGGGGAAAGGTGGGGGTGGGTGGGGAGGTGGGGAAGGGTGGGGGTGGGTGGGAAGGTGTGGGGGAGAAGGGGCAGGAAAAGGGGGCCTCGGTACCAGAGCGCAAACACCTGGTGGGTAAGCTTGCGGTCAGGGCTGCCGAAGAGGCGAGCGAAGCCGGAATCGGCGATTTTGAGCTCGCTTGTTGGGCCGATGAGGAGATTGTTGGGCTTCATGTCCCTGCGGAGGTGATGGGTGGGGAGGTTGGCTGGTTGGGTGAGTGGGTGAAAAAGGGAGGAGTTTGAGGGGTCAAGGGGGAATGGATGGAGGTGGGGGATGGTGCAGGTTGAAATCTGCGAACTTGAGCTCCCCTGTTGGGCCTATGAGGAGATTGTTGGGCTTCATGTCCCTGCGATGGTGGGTGGGTGGTGGGGTGGGGCGGTGGGGGGGTGTGAAGAGGGGTGGGGATGGGTGTCGGTGGGGATTGGGGACAATGGGGATCACGGCACGGAAGTCTTGAAGTGGCCTGTTGGGGCTATGAAGTCATACATCTGCGTGAAGTAATATATATGCACTCATATATATGCACTCATATCTATGCACTCATATCTATGCATGGAGAGGTGGGAAGAAAGCCACCCTCAGTCTCTTGAGATGTAGTGTTATCAGAAAAGGCATCATCAGAAAAGGCATCATCAGATGAACCACCATCGAAAGTACGACAATCAGAAGAAGAATCATCAGACAGAACTATCATCACGCGAATCACCCACCCACCTGTGTAGCACCCATTCGCCATAAAAGTATGCGAGTCTCTCCAGGGTCATGTGTGTATCCCAGTTTAGCCAACATTCCTAGCACGCTGCACCCACCAGTGGAGCACCCATTTGCCATGGCAGTATGCTAGGCCCTCTAGGGTCATGCACATGAACGCCTTGATGTCCCCTAGAGAAAGGTGTGGAGGGTACCTCCAACCCATCCCATACTACGACTCCCAGCCAACCATCACCAGAACCCCACCTGTGCAGCACCCATTTGCCATGGCAGTATGCTAGGCCCTCTAGGGTCATGCGCATGAACGCCTTGATGTCAGCTGGTGACAGGTGCAGCGAACGATCCTTGATGATGTTCTGAAGGGGGGGAGGAGGAGAGGAGGAGGAGGGAGAGTGAAGGAGGCGAAGATATGGAGAGTCATGCGCATGAACGCCTTGATGTCGTTCGTTCGTTCGAAAGCGTGCTGCAACGACTACATGTCATTATACGTCGATAAGCTCGATCACATGTGGTGCAGCTCCTGGACCTACAGCAGCTTCATCTCCCTCAACCTCCTTACCCAAAGGCTCAGACCACTCACTTCTAAGTCCGTCTCCATGAACTCAAGAACAAAGTTCAAATTCCTCTTATGCGGGTAGATGTCGATGAGATCGATGATGTGTGGGTGGTGCAGCTCCTGCAGCAGCTTCATTTCCCTCAGAGCCGTCACGTTACGTTCACCTCACGCCCTCCTTTTCCCCCAACATGTTTGGCTCACCTCTAAGTCTGTCTCCATGAACTCGAGCACCAAGTTCAAATTCCTCTTGTGAGGGTAGATGTCGATGAGATCAATGATGTGTGGGTGGTGCAGCTCCTGGAGCAGCTTGATCTCCCTCAGAGCCGTCACGTTCACTCCCTCCTTGCAGTCGCCCAGATGAATCTTCTTTATCGCCACTGTCTTGCCCGTCTGTAGAGAGGGGACGGGTGGAAGGTGGAGTTGAAGAGGGGAGGCGAAGACAGGGAATGCAGCAGCTTCGTCTCTCTCGTCGCCCTCCTTGCAGTCGCCCAGATGGATCTTCTTTATCGCCACTGTCTTGCTCGTCTGCCATACGTGGGAAGGGGGTGATGGGGAGATGGGAGGACAGGGAGCGCAGCGCTCAGTGCCCTCCTTGCAGTCGCCCAGATGAATCTTCTTTATCGCCACTGTCCTGCCCATCTGCCACACATGTAAGGAACACGGGAGAAGGTGAGGGAAACGCACGCACATGTAATTTGTAACAAGCCTCACATTACAGGACACAATAACTGGGGCAATCGGGTGGGGAAGGGGTGGCAGCTGCCTGAACATTCCGCCCCGCCCCTCCCAGCCTTTCTCACTTGTTTTCTGATTCAAGTGCGACACGTTGCCTTGCATGGGTATCATACATTTCAAAGACAGGGCTTTTGGAGCAACAAGTGAGGGAGCCTCAAAGAGCTTCTGGGAGCCTCGAAGACGACTCCAACCGATAGTTTCCTTCCCGAGCCTCTCCCCCTTCTAAAAGTAGCAGGTGAGGTAAACAGCATCTTGTTCACACCCACGTGGGGAAGTTGAGCGCCCACGTGGGAAAGTTGAGCGCCCACGTGGGAAAGTTGAGCGCCCACGTGGGGAAGTTGAGCGCCCACGTGGGGAAGTTGAGCGCCCACGTGGGGAAGTTGAGCGCTCACGTGGGGAAGTTGAGCGCCCACGTGGGGAAGTTGAGCGCCCACGTCTCACATGAGTGTCGTACGCCTTGAACACGACTCCGCACGTTCCCTTCCCGAGCTGTCCCCCACTCACATCCCCCTTCTCAAAGTTGCAAGTGAATAGAGTATTCCGCCCAGAAAATAAACGAGCACCCGAGTCTCACATGTGTGTCGTATGCCTTGAACACGACTCCGAACGTCCCCTTCCCGAGCGTCACCCCCTTCACGTATCGCCCTCCCCCTGTTAGCCGCCCCATTGTGACGGGTGGTGCTGTCTGTGGCGGAGGGGGAACGAGGAAGCGAGTGAGGCCGGGATGGAGAGGAGGGGGAGAAGGGTGGAGAAGGGAGGAGGGGAGAGGTATGGAGCGGAAAGGATGAATATCACCCCGTGTGATGTAAGCCGGCCTATTGTGACAGTGTTGTCTGCCAGGTAGAGGATGGGGAGGCAGGGATGGGGAGGCATGGATGGTCGGGTGGGTGGGAGTATCCCTGATGATACAGCTTCGCATGTGGGTACGGTATGGATCACACGTGCCAGCTTCGCATGTGATGATGTAATGTAATTCGCATGGAAAAGGTGGAAAGGATTAAGGCAGTGGCACGGCATGTGGCGGACAGCGGAGGGGAATGGGGAAGGAACACGGGATATGGCGGATGGGAGGTTAGCTTAGCAGGGAGGAGGGGGAGAAGGGTGAATGGGGAGGGAGGACGAAAGCAAGGGGTGCGGGACGAGTTGCAGACGTGGCTGGGGATTGGCGCAACGGATGGAGACAGGAGGGGAGAGAAGAAGTACGAGGGAGGAGAAGAGGTACGAAGGGGGAGAGAAGGTACGAAGGGGGAGAGAAGGTACGAAGGGGGAGAGAAGGTACGAAGGGGGAGAGGAGGTACGAAGGGGGAGAGGAGGTACGAAGGGGGAGAGGAGGTACGAAGGGGGAGAGAAGGTGCGAAGGGGGAGAGGAGGTACGAAGGGGGAGAGGAGGTGCGAAGGGGGAGAGGAGGTGCGAAGGGGGAGAGGAGGTGCGAAGGGGGAGAAGGCGCAGCGGATGGGCGCAGCGCGAGAGGATCGAGGGGAGCGAGGGGCGCAAGAATCGCCCACCGTTGAGTTAATAGTCAATTCCGTAAATTAAAGGTCAAAAGGCGTTTGAAATTTTCAAAAGCGATTAATGGTCGAGAGGCGCGAAGAAACGAGGCAATCGCGGCGGAAACAGCAGAGAAGGACGGAGGAGAGAACTGTAGCATTCGAATGCGAACATGCTACAGCGCCAAACGACGGAGGATGGGGACATGCTACAGGGCCGCATTCGCACACCTGGAAAGCACGCCGCAGTTTTCAGCTCTGCAAAGATCCTAAAAACGGAGGCCGTGGGAGGTTCTTCCTCCGAGGTTCGTGTATAGTAAAGGGCGAAAACGGGAGGCGCGCTGAAGTATGGACCCTAAGAACGAGAGTTGCTAGGCGGTGGATTTAGATGCTCATCACATGGCGCATAAGCGTTGGATCAGCCGCAACTGTTCATGTGACAGAATAAGCGCTATGATACATTCCATCATCAAAGTTGCAGTGTAGCCCGACTGATTGTCTAACTGGATTCACCTAGTGAATAGTTATTCTAAATTACTGTTTGTTATACTTAAGCAACGTAAAACACATCCATTTCACAGTAAATTTTCTCTTCAGGTCAGGCTATCAAATAAAGAATATACATTCCCATTTACCATTGCGGCGGTAATCAAACATGGTGCCAGCATCTGTAATTCGATACACCAGGTGCTGCTGCTGGCAGGGAGGGCTGGCAAGGCAATGCCCTGTGAGTACTGGTATGCTCAGGGCTGACGTTTCATTTTAAGCCTCCCTGATTCCGGGGAAAATTTTCCCCCTCTATTATGGGTGCACATTTTCAAGAAAAGCAGTACCCTGATTGCTCAGGGTTGTAAAGCAGTTAACACTGATTGTTCAGGGTCGAGAACTGAACATCAGAGTAGTAACGCGCGCTTTGTTACCGGGGAAAATATCCCCACTCTCCATAAAGTCTGCGCGCTGTGTTTCCTGCTGGCTGTACACTCGACTGATTTGTGCAGGGCGGGTGTGATTGACCTATCTGGTGTGCGAGTGTAACGTTTCCCTGTCTTACTACCATGCCCAATTGGATCTCTTCAGCTGGCATGCATCAGACACGCTGCGACTGTAGTTAGTCACCCTCAGCGTGTTTCTGAGTTATATCTACTGAGTGGCAGCAAACACAGCGCCAGTATCCGCGATCTGATACACCAGGTGCTGCTGCCAGCAGCGGTGGCGGAATGGCAGAGCCAGATGGTAGCACCATGTGAGGACGAGAGTACTTGTATTTGGGATCCTGCCTATTGTGTGGCAGCAAACACAGCGCCAGTGTCCGCGATTTGATACACCAGGTGCTGCTGCTGGCAGGGAGGGTGGTGTGAGTCATTCCCGTGTGACGGGCCGTGCAGCAGAGTGGGTGTGAGATGCACGATGTCTGCCTGGTATGGCAAAGGCAGGGAAGAGGGACGGCAGGGAGCACAATGGCAGCAGCAAGGACCTCTGAAGCTAGTGTTACGATCAACCACCATCCCTGTGAATTGGGCCGTGCAGCGGTGTGGGTGTGAGATGAACATTGTCCGCCCGGTGTGGCATGGGGAAGAAACATGAAAGGGAAAGGGAAAGACACATTGGGAGTGAGGGGGAAAGGAACATGGGGAGTGAGGGGGCGGACGCGTCGTCCCCATGTGATGCCCCGTGCAGCAGCGTGGGAGTGAGATGCACGATATCTGTCTGATGTGGGAGGGAGGTTGAAGGGGGAGAATGCGAAGTGCAGGTGGTGCAGGGCAGCACAACGTAGTAACCGTGTGAGGAACATCTTTTCTTCAGCCTTTCAACCTCACTTGCTCGTGAACAATTTCACCTGCCTCTGAAGATTTTACCAGCCCATACATCAATTCACCTGCCCATACATCAATTCACCAGCCCATACATCAATTCACCTGCCCATACATCAATTCACCAGCCCATACATCAATTCACCTGCCCATACATCAATTCACCTGCCCATACATCAATTCACCTGCCCATACATCAATTCACCTGCTAATACATCAATTCACCTGCTAATACATCAATTCACCTGCTAATACATCAATTCACCTGCTAATACATCAATTCACCTGCTAATACATCAATTCACCTGCCCATACATCAATTCACCTGCTAATACATCAATTCACCTGCTAATACATCAATTCACCTGCTAATACATCAATTCACCTGCTAATACATCAATTCACCTGCCCAAACATCAATTCACCTGCTAATACATCAATTCACCTGCTAATACATCAATTCACCTGCTAATACATCAATTCACCTGCTAATACATCAATTCACCTGCTAATAAATCAATTCACCTGCCCATACATCAATTCACCTGCTAATACATCAATTCACCTGCTAATACATCAATTCACCTGCCCATACATCAATTCACCTGCTAATACATCAATTCACCTGCTAATACATCAATTCACCTGCTAATACATCAATTCACCTGCTAATACATCAATTCACCTGCCCATACATCAATTCACCTGCTAATACATCAATTCACCTGCCCATACATCAATTCACCTGCTAATACATCAATTCACCTGCCCATACATCAATTCACCAGCCCATACATCAATTCACCTGCCCATACATCAATTCACCTGCCCATACATCAATTCACCTGCTAATACATCAATTCACCTGCTAATACATCAATTCACCTGCTAATACATCAATTCACCTGCTAATACATCAATTCACCTGCCCATACATCAATTCACCTGCTAATACATCAATTCACCTGCCCATACATCAATTCACCTGCTAATACATCAATTCACCTGCCCATACATCAAACACCTGCTAATACATCAATTCACCAGCCCATACATCAATTCACCTGCTAATACATCAATTCACCTGCCCATACATCAATTCACCTGCTAATACATCAATTCACCTGCTAATACATCAATTCACCTGCTAATACATCAATTCACCTGCTAATACATCAATTCACCTGCTAATACATCAATTCACCTGCGAATACATCAATTCACCTGCTAATACATCAATTCACCTGCTAATACATCAATTCACCTGCTAATACATCAATTCACCTGCTAATACATCAATTCACCTGCCCATACATCAATTCACCTGCTAATACATCAATTCACCTGCCCATACATCAATTCACCTGCTAATACATCAATTCACCTGCCCATACATCAATTCACCTGCTAATACATCAATTCACCTGCCCATACATCAATTCACCTGCTAATACATCAATTCACCTGCCCATACATCCATTCACCTGCTAATACATCAATTCACCTGCCCATACATCAATTCACCTGCTAATACATCAATTCACCTGCCCATACATCAATTCACCTGCTAATACATCAATTCACCTGCCCATACATGATCTCACCTGCCCATACATTATCTCACCTTCTTATACATCAATTCACCTGCCCATACATCAATTCACCTGCTAATACATCAATTCACCAGCCCATACATCAATTCACCTGCTAATACATCAATTCACCTGCTAATACATCAATTCACCTGCTAATACATCAATTCACCTGCTAATACATCAATTCACCTGCCCATACATCAATTCACCTGCTAATACATCAATTCACCTGCTAATACATCAATTCACCTGCCCATACATCAATTCACCTGCTAATACATCAATTCACCTGCCCATACATCAATTCACCTGCTAATACATCAATTCACCTGCCCATACATCAATTCACCTGCTAATACATCAATTCACCAGCCCATACATCAATTCACCTGCTAATACATCAATTCACCTGCTAATACATCAATTCACCTGCTAATACATCAATTCACCTGCTAATACATCAATTCACCTGCTAATAAATCAATTCACCTGCCCATACATCAATTCACCTGCTAATACATCAATTCACCTGCTAATACATCAATTCACCTGCCCATACATCAATTCACCTGCTAATACATCAATTCACCTGCTAATACATCAATTCACCTGCTAATACATCAATTCACCTGCTAATACATCAATTCACCTGCTAATACATCAATTCACCTGCTAATACATCAATTCACCTGCTAATACATCAATTCACCTGCTAATACATCAATTCACCTGCTAATAAATCAATTCACCTGCCCATACATCAATTCACCTGCTAATACATCAATTCACCTGCTAATACATCAATTCACCTGCTAATACATCAATTCACCTGCTAATACATCAATTCACCTGCCCATACATCAATTCACCTGCTAATACATCAATTCACCTGCCCATACATCAATTCACCTGCTAATACATCAATTCACCTGCCCATTCATCAATTCACCTGCCCATACATCAATTCACCTGCTAATACATCAATTCACCAGCCCATACATCAATTCACCTGCTAATACATCAATTCACCTGCTAATACATCAATTCACCTGCTAATACATCAATTCACCTGCTAATACATCAATTCACCTGCTAATACATCAATTCACCTGCTAATACATCAATTCACCTGCGAATACATCAATTCACCTGCGAATACATCAATTCACCTGCTAATACATCAATTCACCTGCTAATACATCAATTCACCTGCTAATACATCAATTCACCTGCTAATACATCAATTCACCTGCCCATACATCAATTCACCTGCTAATACATCAATTCACCTGCCCATACATCAATTCACCTGCAAATACATCAATTCACCTGCCCATACATCAATTCACCTGCTAATACATCAATTCACCTGCCCATACATCAATTCACCTGCTAATACATCAATTCACCTGCCCATACATCAATTCACCTGCTAATACATCAATTCACCTGCCCATACATCAATTCACCTGCTAATACATCAATTCACCTGCCCATACATCAATTCACCTGCTAATACATCAATTCACCTGCCCATACATCAATTCACCTGCTAATACATCAATTCACCTGCCCATACATGATCTCACCTGCCCATACATTATCTCACCTGCCCATACATTATCTCACCAGCCCATACATCAATTCACCTGCCCATACATCAATTCACCTGCTAATACATCAATTCACCTGCCCATACATGATCTCACCTGCCCATACATTATCTCACCTGCCCATACATTATCTCACCAGCCCATACATCAATTCACCTGCCCATACATCAATTCACCTGCTAATACATCAATTCACCTGCCCATACATGATCTCACCTGCCCATACATTATCTCACCTGCCCATACATTATCTCACCAGCCCATACATCAATTCACCTGCCCATACATCAATTCACCTGCCCATACATCAATTCACCTGCCCATACATCAATTCACCTGCTAATACATCAATTCACCTGCCCATACATCATCTCACCTGCCCATACATCATCTCACCTGCCCATACATCATCTCACCTGCCCATACATCATCTCACCTGCCCATACATTATCTCACCTGCCCATACATCATCTCACCTGCCCATACATCATCTCACCTGCCCATACATTATCTCACCTGCCCATACATCATCTCACCTGCCCATACATCATCTCACCTGCCCATACATCATCTCACCTGCCCATACATCATCTCACCTGCCCATACATCATCTCACCTGCCCATACATTATCTCACCCGATGCATGGCCTAATCTAAGTGGTCTCAAAAGAATGGGCACGTCAGACAGGTGAAGGGGGGCGGGCAGGAGGGGCGGAGAGGCAATGGGAGAAGCCGGGGGATGATCAGGTCAGGGCGACTCTTGCCTGCCCGTGGATGTCTCATGCATGGCCTGCTGTGAGTGGTCTCAGCAGAAAGAGCACATCAGAGAGGTGCAATGGGCTGTGCACTGGATGTCCGATGCATGGCCTGATGTAAGCGGTCTCAGCAGCACGAGCACGTCAGAGAGATGGAGTAGCCACGACAGGAGCAGGGTTGAGGCAATGGGGGAGGGGGGAGAAGGGGATCGGAACGACCTTTACCTGCCCGTGAACATCGGAGGCATGGCCTGATGTAAGCGGTCTCAGCAGCACGAGCACGTCAGAGAGATGGAGTAGCCAGGGCAGGAGCGGGGGTGAGGAGATGGGGGAAGAGGAAGAGGAGGAGGAACGGGTGGCGAGTGGTGGTGGTGGGGGTGCAGTGAAGGTGAAGGTGGTTGGATGGACGGCTGAATGGGTGAGAAGCACGAGGGAGGCACTCTGGAAGGACGGGGAGGGAGGGAAAGCGGGGGCAGAGAGACGAGAGTGAGAGACAATGGATGGGAGAAGGGAGCAGTTTGGGGGGAGGAGGTGAGGGTGCAGCAAGGTAAGGTGGTTGGATAAACGGCTGCATGAGTGAGAAGCACTAGAGCGGCTCTCTGGAAGGAGGGGAGGAGGACGGGGGGAGAGGATCGTGGGAGCAAGAGGGAAGAAACAGGAGGTGAAAAGAGCGAGGAGTCGACAATTTTTAGCGCATCAAAACGCGCCTCATTTCAAGAGAGCAGCAGGGAAGACATAGGAGGCTAAAGCCCACGAAACGGTGGTGAAAGGCTAAAGCTCACGAAACGGTGGTGTAAGGCGTGCACGAAACGGTGGTGTAAGGAGTGCACGAAACGGTGGTGTAAGGCGTGCACGAAACGGTGGTGTAAGGCGTGCACGAAACGGTGGTGTAAGGCGTGCACGAAACGGTGGTGTAAGGCGTGCACAAAACGGTGGTGTAAGGCGTGCACGTTGAGCTCGGTGCGCTGTGCGTGAACGGTAATACGTGTGTATGACAAAACCTGCACATATGGCATCAAGTGTGTAGATACAAAGTAAAGATTGCTTACATGGTGCTTCGTACACAGGCCACGGCACGCTGAGAGAAAGTCCATAACCAGCCGAGAATCGCCGCCCGCGCACGTCTCCAGCAGCGACACGTCATCAATTATAATGCATAGCTGGCCACCGCACCGAGCCGGGGGTGCCACGTCAGCAGCCCCAGATGGTGATGGTGACGTGGCAGCTCCCGCACCAGAACCAGCAGCATCATCAGCAGCAGGTTGAGTTGTGGCAGGCGGAGCAGTTCGGGAAAGAGGTTCAGTAGGGTGGGAAGGGGGTTGAGAGGGGTGAGACGGGGTATGGGCTGGTTGGGAGGAGTGGGGGCAGCCAATTGGACTGACAGCAGCGCAGATGGATGAGTAGAGGGCGCGGAGGGGGCTGGCATTCGCAGAGTGAGGCGGGTAACCATTGCTGGGGAGTGTCTGGGAGGGCGGGTGAGGGGGAGGAGAAAAGGGGACTGGTGGAGAGAAACGGTACACTCCTGCCTGCTGCTGCTGCTGCTGCTGCTGCTGAAGTGGCATTTCCTTTTGCTGCTGGTCCTGATGCGGCATCTCCTTTTGATTTTCTTGCTGCAGACACACACGTGGGTCTAAGCCATCAGGCTGCCACGAGTAGGCCTGTGATTGGCCGTCAATGATGGCCAGGCGATGCTGCCTGCAGAGGTCCGTGAAGTGAACGCCCTGGGAGGAGGAGGAAAACGAGAGGGGAGGGAAAAGGAGTGGAGGGAGCAGAATTGAGGAGAGCAAAAGAGTGGCAGTGAAGAGAGACGAGAGGTATTTTTCCAATTTCTGGTCGGTCAACAACGACAGCAAACAAGTAACAGTTGTAGACGTCACGCCAGCCATATGCAAGCTCAAACAAGGAACAGAAACACCACAAGGGAGCTACGTGTGTGTGTGTAGTAGCGCTTGTTGAGTTGAGTCGACTCAAACATCGGCTCGTGGTGGTTTCACGTCTGTGCATTGCATGCACGTGACACGGGCCATGATACTTCCCTTCCTACAACTGCATGCAGCCATGCATGAGACCTCACCATGTTTCTAGCAAATCTCCCATGCGTGAACGCATCATCTCCTTGCGTCCCTTCCTTACTTCCCTAGAAATGCACCCATGCATAAACCTCACCATTCGCCTTGCAATGTGACTGTAATGAGCGGGAGGGTGCGCCAATGCAATCAGACACACTGTCCTCACACACCCCTCCCCGCCTCCTGCGCACCCTCCTTCCCCCTGCCCCTCCCCCTGTCTCGCCCCCGCCCCTCCCCCCTGCAGGGGCGGAGACAGCAGGTGCGACTTCAGCAGATGCAGCAGCAGGAAGCTTCCTTCCGCTGCCACGTCATCACACAGCAGGAGGGCGGCACCGGGCGGCACCGATCCCGACGCGGAAATCCCGAGGTGTGGGTTGATGGGGGAGATGGGGAAGCCTGCCAACACTGGGATAAGAGGCGAGAAGGGGTGGGAGGGAGGGGGGGGGGGGAGGGGGAGGGAGGAGTGTGGGGGCGAATGGATGAGGAAACGAGAAAAGGGAGGAGATCCCAAGGTGGGGGTTGATGGGGAAGGTGAGGAAGCTTGTTAGCACTAAAACAGCTAGGGGCGATAGGGGGAAGGGGTGGAAAGGAAATGAGTGAAGGGGTAAGGGGATGGAGATCCCAAAGTGCGGATTGATGGGGGACGTGGGGGGAGGGGGGAGTGACGGGTGGAGAGTGGAGGGGAAGGAATGAGCGTGGGGTTGTGGGGGAAGGCGCTCCTGAGGTGCGAGTTGATGGGGGATCTGGGGGAGAGGGGGGATGAGGGAGAAGAGGGGGGAAAGGGGGAGGAGGGGGATTGTGGAGGGAAATGAGGGAGGGGAGGAAGGGGAGGGGCGGGGTGCAGGTACCAGGAGATCCCGAGGTGCTCGTTGATGGGGGCGGTGGGGAAGCCTGCTAGCACTGGAATAATCGTAAGAGAGGGGGGCGGGGAGCGAGGGGAGGAATGGACGACGGGGAGTCTAAGGGGAAGGAGAACGTGGGGAAGCGCCAGGAATGAAACAGCCAGGAGGGGTGGGGGATGGGGGGGGGGGCGGGGGGAGAGGAGGAAGTGGAGAGGAGGGGCGGGGCGAGGTAGAGGGAGAGTCCGAGTTGAAGGCGGATGGGAGAGCGGGTACACGAAGTGGGGAGTGCAGGATTAGGGCGCAAGGGGAAAAGTGGGTGGGGCATTGTGCAGGCTGCGTGGACGGCAGGCATGGCGACTCACTATTAGCGGACATGCTCTGATTCGCTCTGGCGCGTTTTAGCGCGCTCTGGTGCGCTGGTGCGCCTGCACGAATGCCGAGCTGGTGCTCTGCTGCGCTCTCATGCGCTCTGGAGCGTTTAGGCGCGCTTTAGCGCGCTCTGGTGCGCCTGCCCGAATGCGGAGAGGAGATTCGAGCGGAAATGCCGCAGCAGCAGCGCCCCGCACGCGCGTCAATAGACTGCCTGCAGGGGGGCGGGGCGACCGGAGCCTCCGCCCGACGACGCTGAGCGGCACGCGCGCAGCTACGCGCGCATGCAGTTGTGTGCGCAGCTCGGCGCGCAGCCGCGCGGTCGGACCGGGGCGATGAGGAGGCGCGGTGGGCGAGGCGGGCGGGGTGGGCGGCGACGAGGTGGCGCGGAAGGATGGCGCGCCGAGTGGCGGAGGGGACGGGGGGGTGAAGGCGGAAAAAAACTGCGCGGAATGGCGGGTGGTGGTGCCTGGCGACAAGCACTGGTGCATATACGATTCAATGATGACCATATATATTGGTGTACCGGGTGCCTTCTATCGAAGAACATGTTTCAGGCGAAGGTGCTCCCTGCTCTCTGCTTTGACATTCACCGCCACGCGCTGATGCAACTTATATTACAGTGAATCCACAAATCATGAACCATATATACACTATATACAAAATGCACAGCATTATCTGGCTGAATCAGCAGCAGTCACATCTGTCAGCTCTCAAGCCTCCACTCAACGACACTATCTTTCTGCGGAATCACCTCCACAATCGTCCTCCACTCCTTCCCTCCATCTCTCACCACCACTTCGTACTCCCCTGCAAACCCCTCAACCACAAACCACCCCTCCTCATCCGTCCTCCCCACCACACCCCTTGTCGTCCATTCCTCTAGCAACCTTTCCAGCCTCTCCCCCGCCTCCGTCAACGACCAATCAGAACGCACCAAGTGTGCGTTTTTCCTCGACATGGACGGTCGATCCGGGCCGGAACCTTCCCAAAAACCCCATAGCACCACCCCTTCTACTCCCCCATGCCCAAACGCCTCTCTTAAACAAATCTCCAAATCATCCGCCCTCACTTTTTCGACTATAGAGCTCACATCTAACTCTGTAACCCAAACTGGTAACCCTACATCTGCCAGGATACTCCAAGCATGCCGCATGTGGGCGCCAACTGGCGCGCTGATGTGGCACTGTGTGCCGAGCCCGCCAACTGGCGCCCCGCTGGCGATGAGCTGGCGGGCGAACTGCGCGTACTTTTCTGGGCGGCTCTTTTCGTCTTCGCCGTCCTCTATGTGGTACTCGTTGAGGAAAAGGACAAGGGAGGGTGCGATCTGGGCGGCGAACTGGAACATGCGGGGGACGATGGATGGGCCGCAGCGGGAGGAGAAGAATCCCCCGTGAAGCATCTCGTTGTTGACATCCATGTGAGCGAAACAGTTGGGATAGCGGGTGAGGAGAGACGTGATTCTGCTGTCAATGGCTTCTGTGTAGGGAGGAGGGGTGGGATAGGGGAGGTATGAGAGAGGAGAGTAGCTTGGCACAGGGAGAGGAGAAGAATCCCCCGTGAAGCATCTCGTTGTCGACATCCATGTGGGAGAAAAAGGCGGGGTAGTGGGTGAGGAACGACATGACTCTGTTGTCAACAGCTTCTGCTTACAGAAGGGTGGGTGGGATGGGGGGAGGAGAGGAAGAGAAGATGAGAATGGGCCTGGGATGGGGGGAGGAGAGGAAGAGAAGATGAGAATGGGCCTGGGATGGGGGGAGGAGAGGAAGAGAAGATGAGAATGGGGCTGCAGCGGGAGGAGAGGAACCCTCCGTGGAGCATCTTGTTGACATCCATGTGGGCGAAGCAGTTTGGGTAGTGGGAGAAGAACAGCGCATTTTTGTTGCCAATGGCATGTGCATAGGGGGAAGCCGGAAGACAATGACCTAGCCCTGTACAGAGTTTATCGGCCTAGCCCTGTACAGAGTTTATCGGCCTAGCCCTGTACAGAGTTTATCGGCCTAGCCCTGTACAGAGTTTATCGGCCTAGCCCTGTACAGAGTTTATCGGCCTAGCCCTGTACAGAGTTTATCGGCCTAGCCCTGTACAGAGTTTATCGGCCTAGCCCTGTACAGAGTTTATCGGCCTAGCCCTGTACAGAGTTTATCGGCCTAGCCCTGTACAGAGTTTATCGGCCTAGCCCTGTACAGAGTTTATCGGCCTAGCCCTGTACAGAGTATTGCGCATGTGCAGCTGCTCTCACTATCATCACACCTTCAAGCAACAGGGCATTTATGGTTGGAGCGACAGGGCAATGATAATAGACGCACCTTTGATGCAGAGAGCAAGGATAGGCGGGTCACCTTTGAGGTCCTTAAGGGAGAGTCCATCGACCCAAGGTGGGCGCATGTTGTCCCAAAAGAGACAATGCGCTCTCATCGCCACTCCATGCTCCTGCGTGCACGCACAGGCACGTACAGGCACGTACAGGCATGTACAGGCACACATACAGAGAGACATGCATAATGAACCGTACTCACGCCATAGTTCTCCTAGTTCTAGAAACAATGCTCTCCTCTCCCTTTGCCTTGGCCCCCCGCCTCCCCCACTATCACACAAACCTACATCCATGCCACCATGGCGGAAGAGCAGGGAAAAAAAGGAAAAAAAAAAAACAAACAAACAAACAAAAAAAACATAACGCAAAAAAGAGGAAGGAAAAAAAATTGCATGCTTCTCACTGCTCTTCCGCTAAGAGTGACAACACACACACATATACACCTGCAACCGTCACCATCTCCATCACCACTCACTCACACACACACACACACACACACACACACACGCACACACACACACTCACACGCACACACAATAACACACACACTCACATACACTCACACACACACTCACACACACACACACACACACACACACACTCACACACACACCTGCATCCATGCCACCATGGCATCGGCGTCTCTCCAGTCCTCCTCGCCCCGTCTCGCCTCCACACTCGTCCACTTGAGCTCGTTCTCACACACTCCCCAGCTGAACCACGCCCCATTCGACCTGCTTCCCTTTCCCTCGGGGGAAAGCTGCAAGGCACGTCCGCTGCAGAGGGTTTGTGCACCCGTTCTGCTTCCCTCTCTCTGCGGCAGGAAGAAGGACTGGTAGCGTGGGTTCCCCAGCAGGTCTCTCGAGTTCACACAGGTGCCCAGGGGGAAGGCGCGGCGCGTCTGATTGGCTGACACGTGGGCGCACGGGATTGGCTCGCCAGCAGCAGAGAGGAGGCGGAGACGCAGCGATCCCTTGCGGAGCTGATGGGGGAAAGAGGTGTGTGTGTGTGTGTGGGGGGGGGGGGGGGGGGGGGGGGGGGGAAAGAGGGGTGTGTGTGTGTGTGTGTGTGTGGGGGGGGCCAAAGATTTGTGGTGGGAGGAGGAGAGGGCATGTGGGCATGTCAGAGAAAGAGGGGGTGTAGGAAAAAGAGAGGGAGTGTGGGACGGGGAGATGGGGTGTGGGTGGGTGGGAAAGGGCGGAGGGGGTGTGGGAGGGGTAGGGGCTTGGGAGCACAACAACACCTTCTACATTGAACAACCCCTTTCCATCCTTCTCCACCCTTCTCCACCCCTCTCCACCCCTCCCCACCCTGCTCTACCTCTCTCAACCCCTCTCCACCCCTTTCTACCACTCTCTTTCCCTCTCCACATCTCACCCTGTCTGCTTGCTCGCACAGCCACGGCACCCTCTCCCGCCACTCCACAGGCACCCACAGCCATACCACGATGCACAAATCACAGCATACATTGAACCCTTCCTCTCCACCCATCTTGACCCCTCTCCACCCATCTTAACCCCTCTCCACCCCTCTCCATCCCTCTCCGCCACACACCACATCTCACCCTGTCTGCTTGCCCTCGCAGCCACGGCACCCTCTCCTGCCACTCCACAGGCACCACGCGCACGTCGGCCAATAGGATGCTGACACCTGGCGGCGGGCCCTGCACGTACAGCACAGCTTGCCTGTATGGCTTCTCCAGGCGAAACGACCCCCAGCACCGCACCCACTCCTTCCCGGAAGCTTCCACAGACCCTGCATTTACCCACCCCCCATCCACCCCTAATGCTATATTCACTTGGTGTGATACCACCCTTCCCTCAGTTCCTTCTGCCTCTTTCTCCTCCGTTTCTTCTGCCCCTCCTTCCTCTCCTCTTTCTTCCTTTCTAGCAAAGAGGGAAAGAAATTTCTGTTCTCCCTGCCCGCGCTCTTTGTGCTGTCTGCCTCTCCCCACGCGCACCCACGCGCTCACAGCATACGTCACAAACAGACGAATCGGCCCATCATCAGCGCTGTCATCAGCCCGGGCAGTGCTGCTTTCAGGGCTGTGATTGGCTGCTGGGATGTCCTGAGCTGGCCCATGCCACGTGGCAGTCCTACCTGTCACTTCCAGATAGGCACCAGTGGGTCCCCCTGCTAAAGGAACCGACGGGGTGGGCTGGAGGATCGGCAAAGCCGGATGGCTTGATGCCACGTGATGATGCTGCTCAGGAGAAGGGTGTTGCTCTTGCTGCTTTTTCTGTTGCTGTTGTTGCTGCTGAAGTTTTTGCTGCTGCTGCTGCTGGTGCTGCTGCTGGTGCTCCTGCCACTGTGCGTGCAGCTGCATCTGTCGCCTTTCAAATACGGTGCACGGATGAGAGGCGGGCAGGGAGGAGGGCTCCACGAGAGGACCAATCAGAGAGCCCCACTGGCACGGTGCGTGCCACGTCAGCACCTCGCAGCCACCCATGGGCCGCCAGCTGGCAGTGCGGAGGGAGAAATCGCCGTTGAGGAGGAGATTGGGGCGAGGGGAGTGGTGGGGGGGAGGAGGGGGAAGAATTGGGAGAGGAGGGGGCGTGGAGCATGGTGAAGCAGTTGCTGCTGCTTCTGGTGCTGATTGCTTAGGAACAGGATGAGAAGGAACAGGATGAGAAGGAACAGGATGAGAAGGAACAGGGTGAGAAGGAACAGGGTGAGAAGGAACAGGGTGAGAAGGAACAGGGTGAGAAGGAACAGGGTGAGAAGGAACAGGGTGAGAAGGAACAGGGTGAGAAGGAACAGGGTGAGAAGGAACAGGATGAGAAGGAACAGGGTGAGAAGGAACAGGGTGAGGAGTGGGAGCAGCTGCAGCAGTGGGGGCAGCAGTAGCAGGAGGGTTGAGAGTGGGTGGGAGTGGCGAGAAAGTGGGCTGTGGGTCGGATGCTGGGACTATAGCGAAGAGGTTAATAAGGAGGTCGAATGCAGGAGGAGGGCCCTCGACGTAGGCTGTTACCTGATGGGGGCGACGAGGGGAAGACCAGGAAGCAGGGTGTGTACGGGTTGCAGCGTGATGCGGTGCAATGGGGTTCGATGGGTTTCAGATGGAAGGATGGGATGAAAGGAGGCGATTGGCTCATAGGGACGGCGAATCGGCAAAGGAGGCAAGTTCTTGACACAACCCCAAGTGAGGAGCCATGAGTAGTTGAGAGACGTCTCACACACAAGAACTTGCCAACTTCCCACAGCTCTTCACGTTCAATTTTGAAACACACTGTGTGCGGTGCTGCTCTGACGAAGTTCGCTCCCCTTCACAGCCCAACGCTAGGACTAGCCTACCTGCCCCATCAACCCACTTTGTGTGGAATGCGGTGGGGAGCGGTGAAGTGCCCTTCCAGCCTCACCCACTCGCCCTCCCTCGCCATTGCCCTGTTAGGAAGCAAGTGACATGGGCACAGGGTGAAATGGCATGGAAGCAAGTGACATGGGCACAGGGTGAAATGGCATGGAAGCAAGTGACATGGGCACAGGGTGAAATGGCATGGAAGCAAGTGACATGGGCACAGGGTGAAATGGCATGGAAGCAAGTGACATGGGCACAGGGTGAAATGGCATGGAAGCAAGTGACATGGGCACAGGGTGAAATGGCATGGAAGCAAGTGACATGGGCACAGGGTGAAATGGCATGGAAGCAAGTGACATGGGCACAGGGTGAAATGGCATGGAAGCAAGTGACATGGGCACAGGGTGAAATGGCATGGAAGCAAGTGACATGGGCACAGGGTGAAATGGCATGGAACTCTTGCAACGTCTCAAAAGACCACTCGCCTTCCCCTCTATGGCCCTGTTAAGCATGAGGTCACATGGGCACTGGTGTTATGTCATGCACTCGCTCGCCTGTGAACACCCGCACACACACATGTGCATCCATACCTGCACACACATGTGCATCCATACCTGCACACACATGTGCATCCATACCTGCACACACAGGCACACAAAGACCCAGGCACACAAAGACCCAGGCACGCACGCACACACGCACACACGCACACACGCACGCACACACGCACGCACGCACACACGCACACACGCACGCACGCACACACGCACGCACACACGCACGCACGCACACACACACACACACACACACACACACACACACACACACACCCACACCCACCCTCCCCCCTCCCCCCCCCCTCCCCCCCCCCCCCAAAACAAACACGCGCGCGCACACACAAGCATACTGGCAAGCACGAACCTGCATGCTTGGTTGTATTGAGAACCTTCGTCGAAATCCCATCGCACTGTCACCAGCACCGGTACGGCCTCCGTTCCTACCTCCCCTCCAAACCTCATCACTATCCCCCTCCCTCCCACTCCTCCAGCCGCCGCTGCAGCTGCTGCTGCCCTCACGCTGACTACAGCAGTGACACAGTAGCGGCGGTGGGGCGTGAGACGCATGTGAATGTCTTGCGCTATGCCGTGCCATACCTCCCTGCGTCCGATCACCGCTGCACACTCGTGCTGCTGCTGATGATGATGGTTATGACGGCGATTCTGCTGAGGCTGATTATGCTGATGACAAGGAGGAGGCGGGAAGCATTGATCCTCGAGCCACGTGCTAGCCGCGGTCGTCATGAGGCGACACGTCTCGTCGCCACCTCGTAACGCGTACCACGCATGGAGCCCGTCCTGAAAGAACGGGTTCCGCGTCGGCCAGTCATTCACAGCCATGTGCTGCCACGTGGCAGCAGCCGAAACGATCGTACCTAGACTCGCCTCGTCGAACCGAGCAGCAGCTGCGCGCCGATGCAGGAGAGGTTGCTGACAGGGGCAGAGATTGACCTAGCGAAATTTCTACTTGAGATGACACTCCAATGTATCAGAAATCACTCCTCTTGCTTTCTTATCTCATCTTCTTAAAACGCTAAATAAGAACTCCGGTGGTTGCTGTCAGCGATGGTACGAGCGATCTTGCCGCATTCAGTCGATGACGCCATGGACTATTTCGGATGTCAATAACGTTGCTGCTAGCAGCCTTGTGTCCACCATCGGCGAGATAATCGATCGGCGAGATCATCGAGGACAATCTGTCGGGGTTTGTGGAAAGGAAGGAAAAGGATTCATTCCTCCATGAGAAACTGATCACGATGATCCCTATGCGACCAGAATCCCGTTGTCTTGCCTTTGCTAGGTGGCGCGAGAGCATCCCGTGAAGTCGCAGTGGCGTTAGTATCACCCGAACATCCCATCCTAGGAAAAGTCAGCCGTAAATCGAACTTTGTACCGTACCATTCTGCGAGCGAGTGATCCGAACGAACCGAACCACGATATCTGTGACTAAGTGTCATCTCCAGGACATCCCTAAGAACACAGCACTGGGAATTTGCCACATTGGATGATCCAATCGCTCGTTCTGTAGCCAGCCAGGCTGATGCGCCAACCGAACTGGGCCTCGGGGAATTTCCAAACCACCGAGAGGCGACGAGTACAGAAAATCCACCTACCGAAAGCACTTTGCGAACCTCCACTTTCCGAACGCGCTTGGGAACAACATCACCCGCGTTTGAGCTCACTCACACGCCACCCGCGAACAACGTTGTATATTCCTAACCTAATCCTAGGACATCCAACTAGCTTTTAGGTCTGGCGGCGCGGTGAAGCGTTCAGCCATGGCCTCCGTTGCCATTCCAACCGTTAAACACCCCCCGCATTCAGCGGCAGCCTTTCGCCCGCGTTCGCATTTCCTCGGCTCGACCAACATTAAGGCCGCAAGCTCTTTGTTTCCTGTAGATTCAACGCGCACGCGGAAAGATGGGCCTGCCAATCGTAGAATGCCACGTGGCAACATTTCGATCACTATAGCAGCGAACGCAGTTTCTGAACAAACCACGTCAGCGACTCTTGCCACGTCAGCCAACTCCGCTCGCCCCAAGGCCAAAATCTGCGGGGTTACATCTGTGGAAGACGCCGCGTTTGCCGCCGCGAATGGCGCCGCGTTTGTCGGCATGATCTTGTGGCCTAAGGCGAAGCGGTCGATCGCTTTGCCAGTTGCGGCTCGAGTCGCGGCGGCCGCGAGGTCGGGCGGCGCGGTGCCTGTCGGCGTGTTCGTGGACGAAAATGCGGCTGAAATCGAAGCAGCTTGTAGAGAGGCGGGAGTATTCGTCGCGCAGGTAAGGCTTCTAAATGGAAACGACGAGAAGCTCTCGCCATGTCTAACTTTCCATCATGCAGGAGACGGGGGGAGACGGGAGGAGACGGGACGGGAGGAGACGGGGGGAGACGGGAGGAGACGGGGGGAGACGGGGGGAGACGGTGGGAGACGGGGGGAGATGGGGGGAGACGGGGGGAGACGGTGGGAGTCGGTTTGCGTAGATTAGAAAGGGTTGGTTCCGGGATCTAGTACCCCAAAGCATACCTCAGATTCAGCAACCTATCTATCACGCCCTCATTATTACCCAGTTTGGGCATATATGTTTTCTGATCCTCGCATGCCATGCTTATGACCCTATGCCTTCACCCCCACTTATGTCACCCTATAAAATTACCATGCCGTCCCTCCCTCACCACCGCCTGCCCAACCCTCTCTTGAAGCAAATCTGACAACATCGAGTCATCAACAGCCCACTTGGTTTCAACCTTTGGTCCTCGCCTCACTCCATGTGATGCTCTATCGTGAATCACATGTCACCCTCGCCCCCCCTCCTTGTCCCCACACTCCCACGTTCTTATCCCCTCTGTCGCCGCCGTATTCGTTCAGCCCATATGGTCCTCTGCGTCTCCTCTTGAGCCGACTCGACTCGACTCAAAAACTGTCGCCGCCTTAGTCGTTCAGCCCATATGGTCCTTTCCATCTCCTCCACCACCCGCCGTCCACCCAGCTCCATGGAAACACGGCGCGTGCAGCTCTCCCACTCCTCGTTCCCCTGCCTTTCCCTCCCTCCTCACGCTCGCCCTCCCCCCCCTCACCGCTCCCTCCCCTTGTGCCTCCTTCCCACCTCACCAGTCCTTCTCAGCTGCATGGAGACCTAGCACGAGCATCCCTCCCCATCTCCCTCCCTGGCTATCCACCATCTTGGTGCTTCACGCCAACTCACATCACATGGTGCCGTGCGCGCAAGCCCTGATTTATGGTGCCGTGCGCGCAAGCCCTGATTTATGGTGCCGTGCGCGCAAGCCCTGATTTATGGTGCCGTGTGTGCAAGCCCTGATTTATGGTGCCGTGCGCGCAAGCCCTGATTTATGGTGCCGTGCGCGCAAGCCCTGATTTATGGTGCCGTGCGCGCAAGCCCTGATTTATGGTGCCGTGCGCGCAAGCCCTGATTTATGGTGCCGTGCGCGCAAGCCCTGATTTATGGTGCCGTGCGCGCAAGCCCTGATTTATGGTGCCGTGCGCGCAAGCCCTGATTTATGGTGCCGTGCGCGCAAGCCCTGATTTATGGTGCCGTGCGCGCAAGCCCTGATTTATGGTGCCGTGCGCGCAAGCCCTGATTTATGGTGCCGTGCGCGCAAGCCCTGATTTATGGTGCCGTGCGCGCAAGCCCTGATTTATGGTGCCGTGCGCGCAAGCCCTGATTTCTTCCCCCACGCTGTTTTCCCACCCGTCCTTCACCCCAGCACCATGGTGGAGACACAGCGCGAGCAGCTCCACCACCTTTTTTATGAACGCCGCCGAGTCACACAGCGACTTTTGAGTCGACTCAAAAGGCACGCCGACTCACGGCGTTGCGCCAACCCTGCTTCACTTCCTTCCTCCCCCACACCCTTCCCCACCCCTTCTCAGCTCCACAGAGGCATAGCGCGGTGCAGGCAAGAAGCTCCCCCCATGCACCCCCACCTCCCCCCATGGCTATCCACCATCTCTGTTCTTCTCGCTGACTCACAAGGCACGATGGGAACCCTTCTTTCCCCTCGCACATACACTCTTTCCCCTCGCACATACACTCTTTCCCCTCGCACATACACTCTTTCCCCTCGCACATACACTCTTTCCCCTCGCACATACACTCTTTCCCCTCGCACATACACTCTTTCCCCACGCCTCCCCCCACCCCAGCTCCACGGGGAGACGGCACGAGCAGCTCTCCCCTACCCCCTTCCCTGCCTTCCACCATCTTGGTGCTTCGCGCCCATTCACACGGCCTCGTGCAAAGAGGTGTATTTTGAGGCGCCTCACACGGCCTCGTGCAAACCCTGCACCCCTCCCCCACGCTCTTTTCCCACCCTTCCCCCACCCCAGCTGCATGGAGAAACAGCGCGAGCATCCCTCCCGCACCTCTCTCCCTGGCTATCCACCTTCTTTGTTCTCCCGAGCTTTCCTCCCCCACGCTGTTTTCCAATTTTGAGACATCTCAAAACTGCTTTCCTCCCTCACGCTGTTTTCCAGTTTTGAGACATCTCAAAACTGCTTTCCTCCCCCACGCTGTTTTCCAGTTTTGAGACATCTCAAAACTGCTTTCCTCCCCCACGCTGTTTTCCAGTTTTGAGACATCTCAAAACTGCTTTCCTCCCCCACGCTGTTTTCCAGTTTTGAGACATCTCAAAACTGCTTTCCTCCCCCACGCTGTTTTCCAGTTTTGAGACATCTCAAAACTGCTTTCCTCCCCCACGCTGTTTTCCCACCCTTCCCCCACCCCAGCTGCATGGAGAAACAGCGCGAGCATCCCTCCCGCACCTCTCTCCCTGGCTATCCACCTTCTTTGTTCTGCACGCACGCCGACTCGCACGGCGTCGTGCAAATGCAAACTCCCCCACTCCCCCCTCCCTGCAAATGCAAGTGCAAATGCAAGTGCAAATGCAAGTGCAAATGCAAGTGCAAATGCAAGTGCAAATGCAAGTGCAAATGCAAGTGCAAATGCAAGTGCAAATGCAAGTGCAAATGCAAGTGCAAATGCAAGTGCAAGTGCAAATGCAAATGCAAGTGCAAATGCAAGTGCAAGTGCAAATGCAAGTGCAAGTGCAAATGCAAGTGCAAATGCAAATGCAAATGCAAGTGCAAATGCAAGTGCAAATGCAAATGCAAACCCTGCTTTCCTCCCCACTCCCCCCTCCTTCCCCCTTGCTCCCAATCTGCCCCAGCTCCATGGAGACACAGCGCGAGCAGCCTTCCCCCACCTCTCCTCTCCCCCTGGCTGTCCGCCATCTTTGTTCTGCACGCGGACTCGCACGGCATCCTGTGAACCCTGCTTTCCTCCCCACTCCCCCCTCCCTCCTCACCCGCTTCCTCCCTCCCCTTACCCCTCCCTCCGCACCCTCTTCCTCCCTCTCCTCCCCCCTCCCTCCCACGCCACCCGTCCTTCTTAGCTGCATGGAGAGACAGCGCGAGCAGCTCTCCCCCACGTCCCCCCTTGGCTATCCATCATCTTCGTGTTTCACGCCGACTCACACGCCATGCCATCCTGTGAAACCTTCTTTACTCCCTGGTTGCTTCCCTTTCCTTCCCCCATCCCTCCCCTCAATCCAGCTCCATGGAGAGACAGCACGAGCAGCTCTCCCCCACCTCCCCCCCCATGGCTGTCCACCATCTTTGTGCTCCCTAAAACCCTAAACGCCGACTCACACACCACCCTATGACCCCCCTGTTCCTCCCTTTCCCCGCCCCTCCTTCTCAGCTGCATGGAGAAACAGCGCGTGCATCTCTCCCCCACCTCCCTCCCTGGCTGTCCACCATCTTCGTGCTTCACGCCGACTCACACGGCGTCGTGCAGACCCCTCTTCCCTCCTCCCTCGCCCTGTCCTCCGCTTCCTCCTCCGCTTCCTCCTCCGCCTCCTCGTCCTCTTCCTCCTGTCCACAACCTGACTGGATCCTCATTGATGGCATGCAAGGGGGCAGGTGAGCGCAAGGGACCAGCACGAGCATGGCCCAAGGATTTAAACTCATAGTGAGGTATAACAAAGCACTTTAGCAAGAAAGGAACGAGACGGTAAAACGCGTAGGTGAGCGCAAGCCTGTAAGGGACAAGGGGGCAGGTGGGGGAAAGAGGGCAGGTGGGGGCAAGGGGGCAGGTGGGGAAAAAGGGGCCGGTGGGGACAAGGGGGCAGGTGGGGGAAAGAGGGTAGGTGGGTTGGGGCTAGGGGGCGGGTGGGGACAAGGGGGCAGGGCAATTTGGGGCAAGGGGGCAGGCGGGGGCAAGCGGACAGGTTGGGGCAAGCGGGCAGGTTAAGAAAGGTAGATATCCTTCTAGCCCTTGCTGCCCTTCATTCTCCCTATCTGCACCTCTTACTCTTCTTCTCCATGCCCGTGAGTCATTTCTTTCTTACAGCAAGAAAGGTAGATGTCTATCCTGCGCATATGCGTGAATTCTTTTTCCACATAGTATGCTTTTCATTTTCTGCTGCCTCTCTGTCCTCCCTACTCCTTACCTCGGACTCCCCCCTACCCCTGCCCTGTCCTGTCTCCTCTTCCCGGCACATGCTTTCCGTGTTTCTTTTTGTTTTCCCACCACAGTGGAGAGCGGTTCGATTGGTACAATCTGAAAGTGCCAGCTGGCGAGAGCAGGAGAGGTTGGATTTTAGCAGGCGGTCTAAATGCAGAGAATGTGGCAGAGGCGGCTACAGTGCTCGCTCCTTCTGTTGTAGATGTATCGAGTGGGGTTACAAAGGAGGATGGGATTCAAAAAGATTACTCGAAAGTTGCGTTGTTTCTAAAAAATGCAATGGGTGCCTAGTTCTGTACTGGAGTTCTGTACTGGGTAACTCACCTCACCCTGTCTCGTTTATCCAAGTACACGTACCGTGTTTGCCATATCATGTTCGATAAAAAATGGAATACATGTGCAGTGCAGTTACCATAGTTTGAGAGCATAAAGTGTATGCATCAAACTTTAGAATTGTACATTAACATGATATCTTAGACCCCCACCTATTCTCGATCAGACATGCCCCTATGATACGACTATACACATGTATTTATATACTGACAATCACGGCAGAATGGGAGACCTAACCACGAGGCGCACCGGCACTGAGTGGCCATGTTGGTCAGTCCATGTGATTGTTCCAAACCTAAACGCCTCCAAAGGCAACAACCTAGTGATTGCGAGCGACTCTAAACACCTTAGATTTTCCAGGATTGATTGTACTCTTCTTTGGCCAAACTTTCACGTTAAAGCCAGGTGGAGGGTCCACCTTCGCTTTATAGGTGGATTGTAAGTTGTACACGTTCTTCACTCGCCTGTACACTACCGTAATGCCGTGCAGTCGAGTTACCGCTATCGAGGCGCGGTTGAGGTTCCAAGGGAAAATCGGATGCGCCTTTCCCATGCGCCAGAATCGCTTCTTCGTTCTTATCGGGTCCCTCATCATAAGGAAATTCACGAAATGCTTGTGCGCCGCATGAAACGTGAGCCCACGGTCCAAGACACGCGTGGGATCCACGTGGCCTCCTCCATAGTCCCATGCGTTCGCTTTCTTTCCATTTGCCCGCTGAATTGGCTGCCCGTTTTCATTCCTCGTATATGCCGTTGTGGTTATCGCGGAAATCACTTGCGACGGGGACCAGCTTGGTTTGTTCTGCACAATCAGCGCCATTATCCCCGCCAAATGCGGCGTCGACATAGACGTCCCGGAGTAGTAGTTAAACTCGGGCGGATCGGTCGCAGCAGTGTCGAGCGATTTACCAGGAGCTGCGGCCCATAGCTGGTACCCCGGCCCGATGATGTCGGGTTTAAGAATGTCGTTAGTGGGGAAGTCGCGCATGAGTAGCGCAGGAGGGTAGAGCGGGCTGCGTGGGGGACCGGCTGAGGAGAAGTAAGCGAGCTGTGGGGCGTTGGAGGAGTGGGAGACAGTGAAGGCGGAAAGCGTGGCTGTGGGGCTGCATTGACATGTAGGGGAGGGGAGAGGGCAGGGGGAAAGGAAGGGGGAAGGGAAGGGGGAATGGGGAAGGGGGAAGGGGGAAGGGGGAAGGGGGAAGGGGGAAGGGGGGAGAAGGAAGGGAAAAAGGGGAAAGGGGAAGGAAGTGAGGAGTTGCGGCTTATGGGGGATTGGATGGGTGAGATGAAACAAACGGAGGAGGGCAGAGATGAGGGAGGAGAGGAGGGACAGCTGGGAAGAGGGGAAAGGGAAGGTGGGTGGGGTGGGTTTGGGGGTGGGTTCAAAGAGGGGAGTGTTTGGAGAGCAGGGATACTTGAGAAAGGCATTCCGAATATGCGCGTAGAGAAGAACAAGAGAAAGAGAGAAAGACAATGAGTCGACACAAAAGTCACCTCGCGAGTGTTTGGAGTGCAGAGGATATTCTAGAATGGCATATCGAACATGCGCAAAGAGAGACAATGAGAGAAAGAGAGAAAGAGGTTTGGAGCTTCTTGCCTGCTTTCAGCTCCGATGTATTTTCTAATGGTCTGCCCATGCGAGAACCTCAAAACGATGCTGGGAGTCTTCGTGTAGGAGAAGATGGGAGCCGCGTCGTACTCCGCTGCCTCGCTTATAACGAGTATGGCAGCCGCTCCCAGCGTGTCTGCCCACATGAGCACCGCGTCAACGCTGTACTTCTTGTGCACCCACTCGTCCACAATGCACACGAGAAACTTGCCGGCGACTTTTGTTGCATCTATGTATTCTGGGTCGCAGGTGGAATCCTGGTGGATGGAAAGGGAGGGACAGGGAGTTGAATTTTGAGTTGACTCAGAAGTTGACTTTCGTTGCATCTATGTATTCAGGGTCGCAAGTGGAAGCCGGGCAGATGGAAGGGGTGCGGAATTGACTTTTGAGTCGATTTAAGAGTTGACTTTCCTTGCATTCATGAAATTCAATGTCGCAGGTGGAGGCCTGGAACGTTGCATGCGTGGTGTGAGCGTGTGGAAGAATTTTTGTTTGGTGTTGTTTGGACTTTGTGAGTTTGTGTGTGAATGTTATTTCGCTTGACCAGATATTTAGAATGACGATTTTGATATATTTCGGCCCCTCTACACGTCCTAGACTCTGTCCTTGATCCTAGCAGCCTATGAAACCATGAGTGTGAAACCACGAGTGTGAAGCTCACCTTGTGCCATACCCCTCTGGAATCTGAGGCATTCTCAGCAAGCAACAAGTGGTCGCGCTGAGTCAGCTAGCAACAGGGGGTAGTGCTGACACCGCGAGCACATGGTGCAGCGCCTGAATAAGCGAGCATGTAAACCAGATAAGGAGCTCACTGCGCTCGTTTGGTCGGGAAGCATGAGCGGCAGAGGTGACGCCGTGGCAGTGGTGCCGCCGAGGCTGTGCCCTGTGAAGGTGGTTCCATCGCCCAGGGTGAACTCAGCCGTGTACTTTCGGCCTATGGTGCTGACGTGGGGAACACGTGGTTGAGGGGAATGAAGCGGGGGCGGGGTTGGAGAGTGGGGTTGAGGGGAAGGGAGACGAGGAGTGAGAACTTCTTCCTGCCCCATAGTGCTGCTGTGGAAATAAGTTGCCTCTTGAGGATTCTCAAACCCCCTGAATGTCTTTTGATTCAGATAAGAAGTCGCCTTACCAAACCCAGTTGTGATCCCATCCCCATACTCCCCTCCTGATTGTGTTGGTGTGGGGATGAGCGGGGGGTTGGGTGGAGGGTGGGGGAGGAGGGGGGGGAGGAGGGTCTTGGTTCCACTAGGTGCCCTTGGGTACCGTTTCCAGGTTGACAAAAAAAAAATGAGTCGGAGAGTGGGAATGAAAGGAGTGTGGATTCCAGTGGTTGTTTTGGCTGGGAAATGGGAAGTCAGAGACATTCCCATGGGTGCCACGGGTGCCCCCCACCTGCTACTGGGATTGAGCCCTCACTTCTTCCTTGCTATACTCACATTCCTTATAGTCACTTGCTACACACCCCCCACTCCAGCCGTACCTTGCTCCCACTGTGAGGTAGAAGGGAGAGGCACTCGAGAGGGTGCCCCATATGCTCATGGGGTTGGGGTGACCCTCGTTGCCGGCTGCAAAGGCCGTGACCACCCCGGCCTGGACGTTGGACAGGTGAGGAAAAGATGGGTGAGGATGGGAAGGGTGAGGATGGGAGGGAGAGAATGGGAGGGTAAGAAAGGGAGGTTGAGAATGGGATGGGAGTGATGAGGTTGCTGCATGGGCTATGACTATCCACCCTGACCGAGTCAAGAGACATGAGAGGATTGTAAAGGTCTGCTGATGTTGGCGTTTGTCTCTTTGTGTCTGTTGCAATGGCTGCTATGAATCCTACACTGGAAGCACAAGGCAAGCCCCCCCCACCCACGAGCACGATATGGCGTCCCTACCATCAGCTACTGCCGTTTTCCAAGCAGGCTGAAAGAGCTGCCAAGGTTTTCAGAGGGCAGGTATGAATGTAATCCGGGATTCTCACCTTCAGGCCTCGCAAATAGGGTAGGTCTTGGAAGTACATGGCAAGCCCCCCCCACGAGCAAGATATCACGTCCACACCGTCAGCCACTGCCTTTTCTGCAGCAGCAATGAGGTCAGAACCGGACCCAATCCCTTCGTAATCCCCAATGATCCACAGCGTCCCACCCCTATGTTACCACCATACACGGGCAGTGGAACGCAACCCACCTTGCCCCAACCATACACGGGAAGCATATCTGTCCAACACACACCTTGCCCCAACCATACACGGGAAGCATATCTGTCCAACACACACCTTGCCCCAACCATACACGGGAAGCATATCTGTCCAACACACACCTTGCCCCAACCATACACGGGAAGCATATCTGTCCAACACACACCTTGCCCCAACCATACACGGGAAGCATATCTGTCCAACACACACCTTGCCCCAACCATACACGGGAAGCATATCTGTCCAACACACACCTTGCCCCAACCATACACGGGAAGCATATCTGTCCAACACACACCTTGCCCCAACCATACACGGGAAGCATATCTGTCCAACACACACCTTGCCCCAACCATACACGGGAAGCATATCTGTCCAACACACACCTTGCCCCAACCATACACGGGAAGCATATCTGTCCAACACACACCTTGCCCCAACCATACACGGGAAGCATATCTGTCCAACACACACCTTGCCCCAACCATACACGGGAAGCATATCTGTCCAACACACACCTTGCCCCAACCATACACGGGAAGCATATCTGTCCAACACACACCTTGCCCCAACCATACACGGGAAGCATATCTGTCCAACACACACCTTGCCCCAACCATACACGGGAAGCATATCTGTCCAACACACACCTTGCCCCAACCATACACGGGAAGCATATCTGTTCAACACACACCTTGCCCCAACCATACACGGGAAGCATATCTGTCCAACACACACCTTGCCCCAACCATACACGGGAAGCATATCTGTCCAACACACACCTTGCCCCAACCATACACGGGAAGCATATCTGTCCAACACACACCTTGCCCCAACCATACACGGGAAGCATATCTGTCCAACACACACCTTGCCCCAACCATACACGGGAAGCATATCTGTCCAACACACACCTTGCCCCAACCATACACGGGAAGCATATCTGTCCAACACACACCTTGCCCCAACCATACACGGGAAGCATATCTGTCCAACACACACCTTGCCCCAACCATACACGGGAAGCATATCTGTCCAACACACACCTTGCCCCAACCATACACGGGAAGCATATCTGTCCAACACACACCTTGCCCCAACCATACACGGGAAGCATATCTGTCCAACACACACCTTGCCCCAACCATACACGGGAAGCATATCTGT